TTTAGTGTCCCTTTGATATGAGCACCAGATTTGGTATTGAAACTAAAAAAAAAAAGATGCTCTCTACATAATTTCTCAATAAAAGTCACTGTAAAAACAGTCCGTAAATTCGGTACGCTGCCACGTGGTCAATTTTTTTCCGGCACTTACAAAGAATTTACCTTTCTCTTTGAAGAAATCAACACAATTTTTTACGATCACATTTGCGATGGTCACCAAAATAACCGTGATGTTTTGCATTGAATGACCTAACAGCAAAACTTAAGCTTTCGGGAACTGAGATATCGTCGTGCCGAGCTCTTGCGGAGGGCATGCGCCATACGAATTGGACAAGTCCCTCTACTGAGTACACGTGCGAGCTTTAAGCGAAAACTCCACTCCGCAGAGAAAAGCACGTGAAGCACGTGAGAGATCAAATGGAAAGATAAAAAAAGCAAAAATAAATAGAGAAAGGAGAGCAAAAAACAAAAAAAAATATCTGAAGGAAATAAATACATAAAAATAGAAAAAGAAAGCGAAAGTTACAGAGAGAGCAAGAAAGGAACATACACGAAAAAAAGATCGAAAAAAAAAACAGAGAGCAAGGTAGGAAGAGAAAGAAAGAGAGAGAGAGAAATAGGAACAAAGACAGAACAAAGAAACGGTGAATAGAAAATGAATAAATAATAAAGGCGAATAGACATATAATGAGCAAGAAATACGGAGAAAAAATTAGGGAGAAGAAGAAGTAAATAGAAACAATTACAAAAAGGAATAGAAGAAATAGATTGGAAGCAAAATAAAGAAAAAGTCACAGCTTTGCCGCAAAGGTGAAGCAATGGACACAATATAGCAACAAATCGGAAGGTCACGCGCAGAATGGCAAGCAGATCGAACTGTGCCTCGCGTTTTTCAAAGCACGCACGAAACGTACTTACAGGTACAGATGCCCACGAATAAGCGTCGCAGTTGTTACTTTATTTTGTCTGAAAAGCCCACTCTTTTCGCAAACGGAGACTGTGCAATGATTGCAGTGACCTTTGTGTGCCCGGTAACTACAACAGAGTAGTTCCAGGTAAAGACCGAGGCCAGCCAAGACGAACAATCCTCCCTACCGCAAGATAAGGGCGTGCGAGAGAGCATCGCCCCCCTCTTCTCGGCGGTGCAAAGTACGCGTGGGAGATGAGAGCACGCGCCGCCGCGTGATGTGGCGATATGCTGAAATGCTGAAAACAATAATTTCTCCCGAGATGCCCGTAAGCAGTGGTTAGTGGTAGATATAAATAGCTTGCCGTTTCAACGTTGAAGGAGGTACCCCTCGGTGGCTCAGTGGTTAACGCCTCGCAATTACTACGCAGAGGTTCCGCGTTCAATTCCGCACGGCGGAGTCTCTTTCTCGGTTATTTTTCTTTCTCGCGTTTACTTACATATATATATATATATATATATATATATTATATATATATATATAATAAATATATATATATATATATATATATATATATATATATATATATATATATATATATATATACGTATACATATACGGTAAATGATGGCGACGCCACCGCAGGCGGCGAAATCCAGCGGAGAGTGTCCATATAATTGCTACCGTGATAAGATAAAAGTGATAGAAAAAAGGATACTGAGAAACGATAATAGCCACCTAGCTACCTTTAGGCTTAGCGGCTCTAGTGCGAAGGAGCCACCATTTTAAGAGATAAGCTTTTAGGGGCGAAAGCTCCTTATAGCGGCACCCGTTCGTCTCTCGTAGCCCTTGTAGTGTGTAACAAGTATTACATTTTGACTCCCAAGTTGTTGCCGGTGAGAGATTTCTTCTGTGCGTTGTTGAACAATAAAAACTAGTGCTCAATGTACATGCCAATGGCTGCTAATGGGGAATGAGAGACAGAAGCATTCGGCTTTTAGTTAACACGCACGCTGCAATCTCCATTAGCAGCCTTTGGCATGTACATTGAGCACTATCTGACAAGAAAGGGTTGCTACGTTATACTAGCTGGGTGTAACCTCCTTAGTTTTAGAAAGGTTTAGCGAGCGTTGAGCCGCAGTGCCATGAATACAATGAACTAGTATATATCATGAACTCGAGGTGGTTACAGGTGGCAAGAAGATACGAAGCGCAAGCCGTAAGAAAGTAAAAGCCGAATTCTCCTGTCTCTCATTTCCCATTAGCAGCCATTCGCATGTACTTTAAGCACTATGTGACAGGAAAAGGTTGCTACGTTATACTCGCTGGGCGTAACCTCCTTGGTTTTAGAAAGGTTTAGCGAGCGTTGGGCCACAGTGCCATGAATACAGTGAACTAGTATATACCATGAACTCGAGGTGGTTAAAGGTGGGAAGTAGACCCGAAGCGCAAGCCATAAGAAAGTGTGCGTGTGCCACCTCTCGTTTAGTCCTTGAAATGTCCGCTGAATGGCAGTGCTTCTAAATAAGGAATATATGAAAAGATGCGAGATGGTGGTACTTGGAGTGTTGAATAGGTGGACGAACGGACACACAGACAGATGCATGAATGGACGCATGAACAGACGCAGGGGCGGATGCATGGACGAATGCAGGGACGGACGCGCGAACAGACGCACGCACGAACGGGCGGAAGGAAGCAAGAACGAATGAACGGACGAATGCTTCGCCCCACTCTCCATCATTCACTCCGTGGATATGCTGCCAATTTTTTTTTGTGGCAGCCGTCATTTCTACGACCTGTCCGGCAATAACGATGAATGTTGGACCTTGGGCCTATTGTTATTGCATGACGAAAAAACGAAATAGTGTCTAAAAGACGGGGACAAGTAATGTGTGTCATTTTTTTCTTGTCCCTGTCCTATAACCACTCTTTTTATTATTTCGGTAAGTCTGTCCTGCATCGCTTATCCTGTCAGGACTCATGTATATGCCACAGAAATTTGAGAAATATTATTACTCACCCCTTGACTAAAGAAAAAAGATTAAGAAGGCAGAAGTTGGCCCCACGAACGGGTATGTGCCGCATAAGTATGTGCACCCTGTCAGAAAGCTATCCCCAAAAACTGGTACGTGGCACAGATACTGACTAAATTCTACTTCTCACAACTGGTACCCAAAACAAAAAAAAAAAAGCAATGGTTAGTCCAGAAATAGTGAATGGAAAAGACAACGGCAACTGCGAGATTCCGAAGTGATGGAAGTCTGCCGATGAAAACATGCCCTTACACCTATGCGAGGTGTGAACACCCGTTTCTGTGGTCTGGAGTGTGGACGTGTGTGTTGGGTTTGTAACCTTGTGTGGTTTAACACAAATCTCTATAGCTATATGAACGCAGAAACAACCTAGCATCACTTAAACAAAGTCCTAGCAATGACCTAGGTGCAACCTAGCAACATTCCTCATTTCTAGTTAAAGCCTGCGAACAACCTAAAAGCAACCGCATTAGTCTTCGAAAAACGTTCTTTTTCACTGTGTCCTTGCGCCATGTGCGGATTAGTGTAAGCCTCGGGATATTTTTTGGTGGAAACTTGGCATGCTAAGACTGATTTTAATATTTAGACTGGTTACTAAATCTACATTTTGAGACAGCCTTTGTATATTTCGCTTCGTCGTCGAACTACCAGCAGCGAGTTAAGTGAGGTTTTTTGTAAGAACTCCTTCAGGCGAATGGAATGACTTGTCTCTATAGTTGCACCGAAAACCTACCGAGACGACCAAAGAAAGCGGGCACTTGAGAATTTAGAAATTGTGTTTAGGCAATGCAAACCGACCACACAACATTTTTTTTTCACCTGATGTGCTCGGCAATCTTAGAGGCCGAAAACTATTGCAACAGCATACGATGCCTAACTTTCTGGCGCTGTTTCATCCAAAGGTACAGCGACCGACAAGACAGTTGAAAAGCTCTTTTTCTGGCTTAGGGAGCCGAGTTGAGCACGAAAATACGGAGGAATTTAAGCTGCTTTAGGCCCCGAGGCAAGCAGCACACGGATGCAATCGCTTTGGCATTCGAAGGTAAACAACCGACAAGCGGGCCAGGACATTCGCTTTTTGGGGAGTGCACATAAAACTGCAGATCCAATTTTCGACGGAACAGGACTAGAGGCAGACACACCATGAAAGACACTCCTCGAAACTCAGCCCATGGGGCTCTCTCACCACGTATAGAAAAACGATGAAAAATATCCTGGTGAAGAACGTCGGGAGAAGATTTAACACAGATGTATTAGGAAGTGAAGTGAGGCTGTGATGAGAGGAAAATACGATCTCTAAAGCTCTTCCTTCAGCAAGTCTATTCAGCCCTCAATAACCGGCTGCATTTTGTTCTAGAGGTATACAGGGGCACAAATAGTAGGAATAACATTAACAACACAATTTTTGAGGTTTCACGTCTCAAGAACACGGGAGACGCCGAAGAAAAAGACTGGAATTTCGGCCCCCTGAGGTTTTTTTAAAGTTCCCCTACATCTAAACACACTGGCCTCCACTAATTTGCTTTCATCAAAATCCTGCCAAAATTCTCTCCGGCGATTTTTGTGTCAGCGGTCCGGCACCGTAAACAGTGAGCCTCAGTGGCAGATTCAGTAGGAATGAACCTTGCGTAAATTGATATTAGTGTTTTCATTCACAGCAATCACTGTTATTCGACTTCCACAATGTCACAATATGCACACTTAGTTCGTTACTTGTTGCAATATCTCCCCTTTTTTTTTTCCCTCTGAGAATAGAATAGCTAAACCTCTGTCTACACTCAAAAACTAGAAGAGTTCTTGGGCCCTTTTTCGTGAATTCTGGATTGGGGGCGCGCCATAAGAGGACACGTGAATTTTTAGGAGATCATCATACTCTCGCCGGAGAGTCATGATTGCTGAAACAGAGTTAACCTGTCCCTTTGAAAATCGCCGTAAGCGTGAAAATAAGAGCTCCCCATAGAGCTTAAAACATACTTCTTGTTTTTTGCTGTTTTACTTATCTTAGTGAGATCGTGCACGTAGACCATTTCAGGATGCCGATGAGATGAGCGACTCACCTGCCGGTATAATGTGGAACGCGCAGGGCTCCCTCTGCATCCCGATGGTGTTGGTGGCCCAGCAGTAGAGTAGGCCATAGCTGTGCTTCCAGCGAGGGCGATATGAGGCCACGCTGGTTGTGCCGTTCACGGTGAACGTCTTCACGTCAAACACCTCGACCGAGTTGTTGAGGGACCACTTGAAACTCAGCTCGGACGGGTCTGCCTCCACCTCGCACGAGATCTCGGCTTCTTCGTCACGCGCCACGCCGTACACGAGGTTCTGGCGCTTCTTGCAGACCGGCGCGTCTGCGAAAACACGGAGAAGATTTTTGAATGCTCAGTGCGCTGAATGGCGGGATAAGCTTTCCTATTCGTACATATTGTACAACGCAAATCGGCGACCAATTCGTTATCTTCTACTTTGAAACTCTTCTCCCCCCTTCCCCTCCCAATTGCTGTACTCAGTGTAAAGTGGCGTAATGGTTGTCCTGAATTGGTTTAGGTCCCTGCCTTTCACAAACTCCTCTTTTTGCTTAACGCTTCCACCGTAATTCTTTAAGGCAGAGGAAGGGAGGCAGAGGTCGTCAACTCTGTCCTTTGCCTTTATACAATCGAAACCATCCCGTCATTGTACAAATTGACCGCGTGTTGCACATGCATGTGTTTAGCAATAATGGCAGCCGAAATCTCATGTTGTTGCTTTACAAGAACCTTTTCTGATTCTTCTAATCGAGGGGGGAGCGGTTCACTGCCGTCAAACATGCCTCCGCCTCTGAATTGATATTTATGAGAACGCCAATGCTTCCTCGCTTAGTCAAGCCATATTGCTCTTGCAAATAGCCAGTAACCTTATTTTTATGCGACTTTAGACTCACAGTGGACCCGAAGCAGGACGCGGTCGCTCTCCCCTTCTCCTTCGACGTTTGCGGCGACGCACTGGTAGTGGCCGCGGCTCTCTCGCCGCACCTTCTGCAGCACGAGCGACTGGTTGCTGATGATGATGCCCTGCTTGACGTTGCTGTAGAGCGGCTTTCCTTCGAACTTCCAGCCCACCTCGCTGACCGCCGGGTTCGCCTGGATGTTGCACTCCAGGTACACGTCCGAGCCTTCGCGGATCGCCTTGTGCTTCATGTTAGCGCCAAGTGAAAGGCTCAGTCGCGGAACATCTGCAACCGTGGAGCGCAATGAAACGAACTCATTCGACTACACAGAAGCAGTTAATACAAAAGAAGAAAGCCTAGAAAGAGGAAAGTTATGAATGTCATCCAGTTTAGGACAATTGGTGTGCAAGCTGCAGCGGAAAAAAAAAGAGTAACAAAGGGACAAAGAGGAAGCGGTGAGGAACAAATATATGAAGTCACAGCTCAGCAGTATACGTGCTATAAACCATCGCCATTGTTCTATAACTGCTTGTGCAAGACTGTTGTTCTTAAAAATTAAGAGAGGTTCAACCACTAGAAAATGGGAGAGGCCCTGAGAAAAAACAAAGTTGGTCTACTGTGAAGAAAATGTACTTCAGACCAACTTCTTGAGAGAGTTTCTGTTTGTCAAACACATCGTAGTACGCAAAACTCAAATAAGAAAATGAAGTGAAGGAGAGGAACTAAAGAAAGGTGTTTCTTTCCCCCTGGTTTATTTTCATTTTCGAGTTTCGCACGACTGCGAAGTGTTTAGCAAACACTATCTCACCGAAAAAGTAATTACGTGGTTGTGAGACACAAGCGAATAAAATGGTTTTAGTATTTTATCTATTTTTTTTAGCTTGATGGGCGAAGCTCCGTAAGCCGCGGGTCAAATGCATGTCCTCTCTTGGTACGTGGCTGCCTAGTTCTATGACTCACTCAGCAGGTAAGGAGGGACGGACGGACGGACGGACGGACGGACGGACAGGCGGACGGACGGACAGACGGACAGACGGACGGATAGACAGACAGACAGACAGACAGGCAGGCAGGCAGGCAGGCAGGCAGACGGACGGACGGACGGACGGACGGACAGACGGGTGAGCGGGCGGGCGGGCGGGCGGGCGGGCGGGCGGGCGGTTGGGATGAACAGATTGACGGACGTACGCTTCACCCCACTCATCATCATTCACTCCGTGGATATGCTGCAATTGCTTACTGTGTGCATCATGTGTTTATTTTTTTTTTAACACGATATTCAGTTGGCGATGCATTGTGTCTCTTGATTACGTTCTTCGCCACGTCTTAGGGATTGTTCTTTACATTCAACGGTCAGGTCAGTGTGCATAAAATACTGTTACGCTATTGGTCGCGTTTCAAAACTGCGGTGCATGAAATGTAAAACGTCTACGATGATATGTACACGCTCGACTACTTTAAACACTACTTGAACACGAAAGCAGATATAGCTGTTTCTCTTTAAGTAAAGGGAAAGGGCTTGCCAATTAGTGACGCGGTGTTCCTTATCCTTTATAATAAACACACTGACTTTCTTCGTAGTACTTGACTGATAGTATATTTACATATATGCATGTCTAGCGGCATAGAAAGGCATAATGACAACGTCAATGACGATACAAAAACGATGATTTTGTGACCAGTTCAGAAGAAAAGAAAGAAAAAGAACAGGGAAGAAAGAAGGAAAGGAAAAACGATAGAAAGAACGAAAAATAGAAGGAACGCTGAAAGAAAGAAAAAACGAAAGAAAGAAGAAAAGAAAGAAAGAAAGAAAGAAAGAAAGAAAGAAAGAAAGAAAGAAAGAAAGAAAGAAAGAAAGAAAGACAGCAGCGCTGCTTTAATTAAACAATGTGCAGCGTGGGTGTGCCTATTCACGAAACGGCACCATTTACTCTGCACACTGTTTTAAATCGGATCCGTATCAAACGCATTACAAACGTATTTTGGAAAGAATTGCAACACCTGAGTGGCGCGTGTACCTACTACGCTTTGCAAATGTGCTGCAAAAGCTTGCTGGTACAAGCCTACGAGAGTATACGGCAGGCATAAGAGGTGATCGTGAATCGTGGTTCATTCTGCGAGGCGTGAAACAGGCCACATATATGACGGCTAATTCGACGCCGGAAATGCGTTGAAAATGCACTTCCTGTCGTTGATACTTCAGCCACAACGAGCTGCTTCTTTACGCACTTTCTCGACTAACCCTCGCGCTTGCACGCTGGTCGATGGCACCTCTACACAGCGTGTGCGGGCTAGACATTCAAAATAACCAAATTAAGGCTATGCGCAACGGCTTATGTGGATTGCCGCTCCCTCATTTGTGAGCGCGTTTTCGTTGATTGCCACTACAAGCACCCAGACCACTCGGTGAGCCTCCCACCATGGATATGCCGAAAACTGCACTCAGCACGTGAGTGGTGAAACAAAACGCAGGCGGCTGAGATGGGCTAACTGGTACACGCCATAAATAGTCAGCGTATACAAATGTAGCTCGTACAAGACAACTGGGAAGCTGACAAAGCACTGTCAATTCTACGCCATTACGAGTGGTCTTTAACGCAAGTGTATACGATGTCTAACATCGCATAATACTTATTTTGTGCAAGAAATAATAATAATAATAATAATAATAATAATAATAATAATAATAATAATAATAATAATATAATAATAATAAAATATAATAATAAAATGGGCACTTCCCATGTATTGTACAATCGACGTGATGTTAAGCAGCCAGCAAGGAGCTTATTGTGCTGTACTTAACGGTCATGTCATCCTTCACATGTTCGAACAATTACGTTCGTCATACAGTCGAGTTCCGCCATGCCGATTTTGGTGTATTCGAAGCTAGCGAAATGGCTGTGAGTGCAACATGAGCTTGGCATGTAAATCAAGTCGTACGTAACACGAAAGTCACGATTTTCTTGTTTTGACCTGCCATCTATCTTCGTCTTAGAGTCACGTTATGCAATTCTAGCTCTAGTCTATATCAAGTTAGCGAAATGGCCGCCAGCGCACTATCAACATGACATGCAAGCCATGTGAAACATGACATGTGATGATTTTTCGTTACCAATTACCCTGTGTCATTTTTGTTTGTCATACAGTCACGTTGCGATTAACATGGTGCATATCAAATCAGGGAACGGGCCACGGCTGCACCATGATTGTTCCATGTCAATCACGTAGTACATGACAGGCATGCCATGATTTTCATGTTGCCACTTGCTATCTGTGTTCTTCATACAGTGACGTCACACAATACAACTGTGGATGCATATAAAGCTAGCGCTTGCTGTTGCGATAGTGCGTGGTCCGTTACTGCAATCTCTACGAGATACAGCTTCGAATGAATTCATGTTAAAGTTAGCGCATGTGTGCATTCTCCATGTCCTGTCCTCGTCAATTCAGTGAGGCGTATTAACTTTATGAACATGTTACACCTACAAGGCCTCTTTAGTTGCCGACCTACGATAATAAGCCACCTTTTTTGTTTATGGTTATGGTTACTTTTGGCATTTCACTATTTTGTACCGACGTCTTTTCACATAAAACAAAGTACTTGTTTTTAACGTAATGCAGGATGAGTTCTCTTTCTCCGATAATTTACCGATATCAACCGCCAATTTCCACGCTTAATGCACGGCATATTATCCTAGCTTTATGCCAAAATTGCCGAAGTAACAGCAGAATAGAAATTGCCACTTAGTAACTGCGTTTCTCAGAAACAAGGTGTATGGTACGGGTTTCTGTTAAATAAAGGTGAATTAACTTCTTTGCCTCCCATTTCTCCTTTTGTTTTCGTCGTATGTTCGGGGATGGGGGGATAAAAAGGGCTGGTCACTTCGTTACGCTTTGACATGCTTGTGATCAATTAGGTTGTGTTCTTCCAATCTATGCACCCACCTCTGTCGTGATAGTGCAACTAAAACTTCATTTTCTCAGAAGCCCGGAACTATATTCACTAGTACCATGAATATGAAAGCATGTGATGAAGATGAGAATACAGTTGAATATTCATACAATTCTTATGCGATCACTTTTGCTTATAGATTATTCCTTTTTGGCCGATATCCCAGAGTGGTTGTGAGTCATACATAGAGGCTACCATCGTCATCAACATTAAATGTGGGGAAATCTGCGTCAAAGGACGAGAGTCAGGGAGTCAGTACACACGACGCACGCTTCACATAGTTATCTGAACGGCCTGCCGATTCCCATTTGTTAATGAAATCACTATAGCCCGACCCTTGCCTACGCTGAACAGGCATTTCTCGCTTCGCAAATTGTGCACACTGGCCTAAATCAGTCATCTTAAAGTAACAAACATTAAATCTAAGACCTCGCTTGCATGCCATGTATATGCACGCTGATTTCGCAAATTAGCATAACTTCAGGTACAAAGCAGAAGTACCTTCGGACGAGTTTGTATTTTATCTCTTTCTCCACAGCTGAATGCCTCTATTTTTTAGCATTATCGAAGAACTTGTAGTGGAATAAACTCGTTCACAAAAACACTGACTGAAAACAGTGATAACCGAAGCAAGTTTAACACACGTTTTTCTGTGGGGGTGTACGAAATAAACAACAAGACTCCAACAAATTATACATTGCCGCAGCACCCCGTAGCAAAGAGCTTCCCGATAAACGCCTCGCTGCACAAGAACTTGTAATGAACTGCGAGCGTAACAGCAATGCATGACAAGGAACTTGTCATTCCACGCAGTACGTGAGGTCGCTCGGCCCGAGCCCAGCGCGAGGCTTGCATCAAGCAGAGCTCCAGTCATTCATTAGTTAGGAATTTCGTGCGAGTTTTCTACTAATGGTTCTGCGGCACCCATGGCGCAGAGGCCCGCGCAGGCCGAGTAACGCACATTGCCTTTTTTTATAAGATTTTAGCGGGCTCGAAAGGAAAGAAAGAAAACAATGTCGTCGCGAAACGATACATTTTAGGAATGACGTTGCCGCCACCTGCAAAATGCGGAGGCAACACTCGAGTTTTGAAAGAATGTCCTATTGAACAAAGAACTGAAAACAAAGAACACTTTAAAAGTAAGAACTTCCATTCACGCTATAATTAAGTAAAGGCGAGTGGGTGAGAAAATAGGAGAGAGATGAATAAACCTGCAATAATTAAATGAGAGAACAGAGAAACCAATTTGTAACTTGTAATTGCCTATAAAGGCGATGGAGGAAGGAAACAAGGACAGTGAGGTGGTGACAGCAATATAAAGACAGATGTACAGACACGAGTAAAATTCTAGAGACCACACCGCACCTTTGGCTTTACGGCAAAGTTAGAAAACACGATATTGCGCACGCGCAACCTATTCTACTTAACAGTGTGAACATGCTCATATACCACCCACATTCTTACACCACTCTCTTGTCATGCCAAATAAAAAAAATAATTTACAAAGAAGGTTTCCTAACCGAGCTTATAACGAAGGCCGCAGCAAACATTCTGAGAATAGAGGTAGAACAGCACCGTAATCCATAGTGAAAAGATAGTAGAAACGTAGAGAGTTTCAAGGTGCTTTTGTTGCCCTATCCTAAAGCTCCTGCTGCTACAACCACTCTCTACGCCAATGTTGCATGCTGAACTTGTGAAGCACCATGTCACGATCAACTAAAGCAGCATCGCAGATTGCAAATGTATATCTTTGTTATATGCTCTCAGTACATACCCAGTTTATCTTTAATTCCTCTTACATTTACAGATATAAAAATTCTTGAACAGGGGTGTAGCTGGAGCCATTGTTTAGACTAGCAGGCTGGTGTTTGTCAAGGAAGCAAGGTTATAATAATAATCGCCAGGGTTTAACGTCGCAAATCCATATGATGTGCTCATTAGGGACGTCTACAGCATAAGGCTCCAGAACTACATGTCTCCCGTGGTGCTTTAGCGTATTATTAGCTTATTAGCTCACTTTAAATAAACGTTATTATTTATTTTATCCCTAATTAGCAAGGTCTCAAAAATATGAAGAGTTTGAAGAAAGCACGTGCCGGCTGGGCCGAGCACTAGACGATAGAGATCGATTGTGGTGACTTTTTTGTTGTTGACTTCCCACTCTTTTGTGAAAAACGTCTAAACAAACATGTGAGACACACTCACACTGGATGTTGAGCGTCCAGCCGTCCTCGAGGCCAGCGCTGGAGAGCAGCGGGTTATCTGCGCGACATGCCAGGTACTTTCCGTGGTCGTCGGTGTTGGGCGCGAACGAAACGGTGCTCGTCGTAACGTTGTCGCCCACCGACACATTGTCCCGAGCAAAGGAGAGCTTCTTTTTCCCCAGCCACCAGGTGAGCTGCGGCGCCGGCCGGCCACCCGTCGACTGGCACGACAGCTCCACCTTGCGGTGTGCCGACAGAGGTCGCTTCAATGTCGTGATCCGCACATCCAGCGGTCGAACTGCACGAAAATGCCGAGACGTCATCAAACCAAGCGTTGGGCCAGACCCACGAAAAAAGCACGAGAGCATTTGATGAGGCTGGCGCAATGACCCCACTGGTCACTCTGAGAAGAAATGTTATTTTGATAGTGCAAGAAAACATGGTCACAAGAACAGCCGCTGTGGACGAGACGAGCGCTAACGTTCAACAATGCCACTATTTCTTTTTTTAAGTAAGTACTTGCTTTGCCTTCTTCGCTTTTTTTGCGTCCATGTTTGGTTGCGCTACCCAGATAACATTTAAACCAGCTTTAGCTCCTCCTCTCATAACGACAGAGCAATGACGCAAAATTAATGCGGAGTCAGAAAAAGTGGTCTGGCGAAGAAGTGGACTGAAGAGTCCACTTCTTCGCTTTACGCTATGGACACAACAGGTGCTACGTATAATTCTGTTAACTTTTTTTTTAATTTTTAGCAGGACGATTCACGCGAATACGACATGAGAGAAAGGAAGAGCTTTGAGCTGCAAGCTCTCGTTTATCCTTGTTTTCTAGTCAAAGCTTTCTCCTATTTCTTGTCGCACTATATTTCACCTATCATCAGGCTGCTAAACAAAGACGCGTCATTACACTTACGTCTTTCGTCAATCATTTCGAATACCATTAATAATCCCATTTTAGTCAACGTAGGCCGTAAGTATACGAAATAGGTCAGACACATTAAAAGGAAGCTAATGCGATCTTTTTACCTCATTCATCGCATGCACCAAATACGGACTTTACGCTCAGAGACGCTCTTGTCTCGAGATTAGAAATTCCACAGCACCGCTAAAGCATACATATACGCTTCATTTCACGCCCCGCCGCGGTGTTCTAGTGGCTAAGGTACTCGGCTGCTGACCCGCAGGTCGCGGGATCGAATCCCGGCTGCGGCGGCTGCACTTCCGATGGAGGCGGAAATGTTGTAGGGCCGTATGCTCAGATTTGGGTGCACGTTAAAGAACTCCAGATGGTCGAAATTTCCAAAGCCATCCGCTACGGCGTCTCTCATAACCATATGGTTGTTTGGGGATGTTAAACCCACAAACCAGTCAATCAATCGACGCTTAATTTCACTCCTTCCTCTTGTTTGGCTGTGTGTTGTGGCCCTGATGTCAATTTGGAAGTGCCGACGAACGCTGCCTATTTGTGTATCTACATACATGTTCCGATGAGTGGTGGGTATTGGCGCTTCTCAAAAAAAAAAAAACTGTCACAAACTTTCATTTGGCCTTAATTGGTGATGGATTTGAAAAGCTGTTTGGCAATAAAACCGAGCATGGGGTAATGTTTATATGAATTTGCAAGCACAGTCTTAGCGTGCGTGACACAATAGCCCAAGCTTGAAAAGAGCTTGAATATACGAACGGTCAATTTTTTTGGATGAGCCAGGGAAAAAAAAGCATTCACTCTTTATCCCCATTTTTTATTCTTATTGTACAGTCCTTGACGAATTCAACTATCTAGCTTTCTACATCGAGAAGCAATCTCCATATGAAAGACCCTTTATACACTGTCGATTCAACTTGAAAAAAAATTCACATTGCCGAAACATGTACCTGAGCTTGCCTTCCAGCTTTTTTCTTTATTTTATTTGATAGGAGGCATGCTTGATGGATGGGCCGTCGGTTTCTCCCATCTCCGCCCGTTTCTGATGGCGTGTAGGGATGCCGTGTGCAATACCGTAGTGTGTGCGTGCGTGGCCGCTAGCACGGCTTTGTTCACAGAGGTGTTTCCGGCAACACCCAAATAGACTCAAGGTAGCGGCAATAAGGGACAATGGACCGTTGTTGTCCATTCGACGCGTTAGCAGCATTACAAGCTTGGTGCTCAATGAGCGTACGGTTACAGCATTCGCTCCACGCTTTCACGCGTCCCTGAACACACGTATACAGGGCTGCGTCGAAACACGAAGAAAATGATGGGCCCTTTATCTAACCTTCGAACAAAAGAGACGCATTACGCGCCTGACAAAACTAAGCTGATACGTAAATGACTGTTGGTTCCGGCATATTGTCTTCGCACCAGCTTCTTTATCCCGCAGTCTGATAGAAATGTTCGTATGCATCAAGAAAAAATAACATGTATACTCACACTGAATGCGTATTAGCATCACAGAAGCATACTGGAGGAAAAATAAATGTATACCCAGTAGGGACAGTGTTTACGGCCAGGGCAACTTTTGTTATGACCGAGACACACAATGAGTTGACTTAATGAAAATTGGTATTGGTCTCTCCGTGAGCGGCTTGCACAGCAACAACAACAACAACACAATAATATTAATTATAATACATTATTATTATTATTATTATTATTATTATTATTATTATTATTATTATTATTATTATTATTATTATTATTATTATTATTATTATTATTATTATTATTATTATTATTATTATTATTATTAATTGTATTATACTAATAGACCATTTCACCTATAACGTTTTTCCTGTTTATTCTTGCACACATTCGTCCTTATAATTTTTATGCATGTACCAGCTCACTTTCACCACTGTGTTCGCCAATATTCTATGACAGGTATAACCATCTTTAATAATCGCGGTCACCTCAGGATGACTTTCTTGCTAAATTTTGCACTGGTGCAGTAGATTTGTTTTAAACAATTCAAAACATCTCATCAGTCATACAGCTCTCATCTAATATTTACATTAAAACCCTGAATTCTTAGCCAAACACCTGAAGTGGATATGACCCATTCATAGGGAACAAAAATGTCGACAGCAACGAGGCGTCCTGTGTGCTAAAGCAAATTTTTACAGGAAAATTTGTTACGAGATTAAAACCAGGGTCACTTTCGGTGCCGTAGTTGTCTGCCGCCGCCACTTCCACTATCCTGATGCATTGGGATTCGAACCCGGGCCTTCTGCGTAGCAGCTTATTATTCGATCCAAGACCCAAGGCCAATAAAAACAACCATATGCCGGCTTCATGTCGGGGAACAAGTCGTGCAAACATGTGCGATAAAGCGTTTGAATAAAATAATAACGAGGTGTCACACAATTAGAATTGTGTTACAAGTAGATTGTTGAATGCTACGAACCAGGCTTGCCAGGATTTGCTATTTTGCGGCAACTTGGCTACTTTTTTAGGCTGGAGGTGACATCAGAGTCGTCTCAGCTACTTAGCTCATTTTTGGTTACATTCTAATCTCCTTGGTCTGAGCAAAACTGTCAATATCTGGTGGCGTCGCAACCGCTGGTATTTGACTATACGTTGCCAAAACATGGCAGTCAAAGCGTGCTTTCATATCTGAAAAGTGGATTTCAGCCCACTAATCAAGTTGACAGCTGAATTTTGATGAAAATGATGGTACACTGTCCTAAGCAGGCGGTAAGGCTGAATAGATGGTCATAACATGATACAAAACTACACCTTTATAATGTAACGCTCGCTCCTGTTAGGAAGACCTCACGAGAGGACAAAGAAAATTGCTTTTGCATGCCTGGTTGGGACGAACTGAGAACTGGCGCTAGGGCCTTCAGTTTGCAGATCACCCGTTGCTGAACGCGACTCTCAATTTTAAATGAATTGCAACTGCACAGGAATCGAAGCGCTACATGCATAAGGGGAGGGGGGGGGGGTTACAATTATCAGCATGAGAAATCTGGTATCTGACAATTTAAGTGAGCACTTAAAAACCAGTAACACAAGCGCCATTAGCAATAGTGCACAAATTCACTATGCTAAAGTCAACAATTTTTGCTTGAATCTCAGGAATTACGATATTTACTGTTGATACAGCACATTTTCATTGTTGCTGGAAGGCTTTCGTATTTATTCATTTAAATAGAAATGTAAAAGTAGTTTTCACATATGCATGGGTTTAGTTCGGGCTACTTTTAATGCCATTGTTTTAAGCCGACTACACTCTTGCTGCTTGTCTCAAATTCCTGGCTACATATTTCAATCTGGCTACCCTTCCTCTAACCTATTACACAAAGCGCAGCTATAACTTTTCATCGCCATCGCCCGCAGCACCAATACTTACGAGCGTGTAGTGAGTACCACGCTTTTCCGAACGGAGAGGAATTGTAGACCGTTTTCTGCTTCACAAATATTACGAAGATTTAGAGCGTAATGGGTGTTTAGAAAATGTTCACTTCTAGTATTTCTAGAGCCCCTAAGCAGAATCTATGAATGCTGCTATTCCGGCTTTCACTGTGATTGCGCTGCAAGTTAGCGCCCACCTCGCGCTTTCTTTTCTTTTTTTTACATCCGAAAACATCGTCACACGCGGTAGGCTGCGTCAGAACCCGCTATGTCGAAATGAAAGGGTCACTAATGAATCAGTAAACAGTTTGTGAAGCCAAAAGGCCCCTCACGATTCATGTTGATGGTGACGGATGAGGAGCGTGGCAGGGTCAGGTTCGTGTTGGACGCCTGGCAGGTGTACGTGGTGAGGAGGTCCGACCGCTGCAGCTTCTTAACGACCAGCTCGTTGCGAACCACATCGAGAGGCGACAGGGCGTACTTGTCGTCCACTAGCTCGGAACCTCGCCACCACGCCACCGCTGGTGCGGGACGCCCTGCAAGTACACACATCCGAATACTTGAACACTGCGATGTGATCGAGTTGTTGCAACCGAAATCATAAATAACCAGAAACCCTGATAGGGTTTCAAGGTCTTAATAGGCTTTTTCAGCCAGGGGCGTAGTTAGGGGGTGGCACACCGGTCACGTGCCTCCGCCCCCCCCCCCCCCCGAATTCTTTTTCGTCATGGCATAGAGAGTAAAAAAATACCATTTTAAAGGAGTTCCCCGCCCAAAATCAAAACGGTGTCCTCCCCCCCCCCCTGAAAAACATTTATGGCTACGCGCCTGTTTTCAGCTAACTTGCACCTTTTATTACAAAAGCACACGTGCTCCAGGCGTGTATGGCGTAGGCCCAATATCGTACGGAGCAGTAAGCAGCTGGTCAATGAGTCAAGAACTTTATTGCGAGGTACTGAGGAGTTGAAGCAACCTGCAGGGTGTCCACGAGCAACATCCTATAGCAGCCGCTACTGAAGTGTAGCGCCGTGGCCGTGACTCAGTGCTGCAAAATTGACACATTCGACCGCAGATCGAATGTGTGGGCATATACATACGACTCGCTACGTATTATAACATTACAGTACAATCCAAAATTCACATTACCATTTACGTCACGCCTGACTGACATATGATTGTAAAGTGTATTTATTAATATCACTGCAATATTCTTGCGACTATAGACTGGGCTAACAAACCGTGTATATATTCTCTTGCGTGTACTCGTTCACATACATCAAATGGGATAGAACGATTGCATTTTGTGCAAGTGAATGTTTGAATGTATACTTTACAGGCCTATCAGAACAGTACATTACAGTGCGGGCATTGCGCGGCATGGCATTCGAAGCCTCACCGAGTGTTTACACTATGCCACAGCTACGCAGACTTGCCGAAAATTGTCATTTGCTTGCGTTATTCGTAAACTACAAAGTGACAGCTATAGCGATTCTTTTATCGAGCCACCTGCTTAATCGTTTGATGCGCTGCGTCAAAAATTAAATGAAATGAGGATTTCAGGAACTTTATTTATCGGGAATCGTGTACACGATGCTCAACAAATAAGGCAAGGTTTTGCTATCGGCTATATAAATCAAAAAAATCAATTCCTATGCTGTAGCCATTATTTTAGCACAAATGTATTCTATGCAGGGGCCCATTAAGACTTGAATGACGTATTTCTGTCACAGAAGTGACAGAAATACATTGGAAGAAAAAATGTGACAATACAAAGACAAAAAGTTCCGTCATTGGGATTGGAACCCGTCACCTATGGAATTGCAGCAACAGATGCCAGGCACACTACCACTGCGCCATGATCACATACTTTGAACCCAGAAAACGTAGGCCTTTTATATCTACCACAGTTCTCTCAGCGTTTTGGTAGAGTTCAGTAACGCATCATGACTATTGCATCAGCGATTAGTTCCTTTAACGCGTCTTTCTTAGCGTCCATCTCTTTCGGCGCTTTTTCAATAGAAGTATGTGCATTTTTGTCAAAGCCAAGCACACCCCCAGGTGGATATCTTACCACAAGCGTCGGTGTCACTTACAACATTCATTTATACACAAAAAAAGCTCTGCAATGCATAAAGCAACGCACCTACTTAGTCTGGCTGTACGCATAGAATTCCTAAATATACACTACAGAGAAATCTGGCGCTAGTGTCAGTAGGAGCTGAAACACACGGTGATTCTGCGAGCATGAGAATGATAGATAGTATACGAATTTGTCTAATTGTCATAGTTCTGGTTCGTGTGGCTTGGAGATGCTTTCTCACGAAAGAAAATTCAGCAAATGTTCAAGCGGTTGCGCTTCACCACTTTTTACCTTTAGGCTTACTATTTCAAATCAGGTCACGAAGTTCAAAATGGCTCGTTGTTTTTTTTTTTTCTCGAAACGAAATCGAAACACAGCAATAAACGAAGCCACAAGTGCGATTCGCCACCCGCAAGTACGAAGACTAGGCAAATCTGTGTACTACCCACCATCATTCCGATGGTCGCTGAACGATCGCAGCGCCAGAGTCCCCTCTAGTTAATTTTAGGAAACTCTATGGCTGTACGAACTGCGCGTTCGCTGCTTACACTCGCCCCGCAAAAACAATTGTCGCCCGCCAACAGACAATACATAACATGCATTGCGTTTCCCTCTGGTCGGGCCGTGGCGCCTAATAACTCCAAGATGTCACGAGTAGGTGACCATAGCCCTAGTTCGGTACCAATCAATCACATTCTCCTGGCTGTCTCATAGCTTTCCATGTTTCGCACTGACCGATGGCCACAAGGGTTTCTTTAATCATTATTGATGAATGTTAGTCACCGAGATGGAGATGTATGACTAAGAATTAACGTGGATGCATCCACGTTAAGCCGTGTTACAGCTGTCAAACACCAATAGACATCGCGCTAACTCTCCTATATCAATGTACAGTAAACATTAAAGTACGTCTGTAAGAACACGTTTTACTTTCGTGTTTTACTGATTTCTATGACAGCAGGGATCAAACATAAGTTTTTCGTTCCAGTTTTCTTTCTTCTTTGCTTCTTTGAAGCGATAGTCATTGCGCCAGTGACAGGTTGTGAACGCGCGAGATACTCCACGGAGCCGCTGGGCCGCGTCGGCTCCTCCAATCCAAAGGCGTGGCTTTCTTATATGGCGTGGAGCCGTCAGTGGGCAAGATGGCAGACCTATGCCGATCTCCGCTAACGAAATGTAGCATATAAAGTTACTCTAAGTCTAATCAGGCGGAAAATAATGGCAGCATATCCACGAGGTGAATGATGGAAAGTGGGGCGAAGCATCCGTCCGTCCATTCATTCTTGCTTCCGTCCGTCCATGCGTGCGTCTTTGTGGCCGCCCGTAGGACCATCCGCCCGTCAGTGCGTGCGTCTGTTCGTGCATCCGCACGTCCATCTGTGCGTCCGTCCCTGCGTTCGTCCATGCATCCGCTTTTGCGTCCGTCCATGCGTCCACCCGTCCGTGCAGCCATCCGTGCGTCCGTCCATGCATCTGTCTGTGTGTCCTATTCGTCCATCTATTCACACTCCAAGTACCACCATCTCGCATCTTTTCATCATATATTCCTCATATAGAAGCACCGCCATCCAGCGGACATTCCAAGGACTGAACGAGAGGAGGCACACGCACACTTTCTTAAGTCTTGCGCTTCGTGTCAACTTCCCACCTTTAACCACCTCGAGTTCATGGTATATACAGGTTCAATGTATACATGGCACTGCGGCCCAACGCTCGCTAAACCTTTCTAAAACCAAGGAGGTTACGCCCAGCGAGTATAACGTAGCAACCCTTTCTTGTCAGATAGTGCTCAATGTACATGCCAATGGCTGCTAAGGAGGAATGAGATTCAGGAGATTTCGGCTTTTAGGTAACTGCGCACGCTGCGAATTTTTTATTGTTCAACAACGCACAGAAGAAATATCCCAGCGGCACCACCTTGGAGGTCAAAATGTAAGACTGGTTACACACTACTACTACTACTACGACTACGACGAACGAACGGGTGCCGTTATAAGGAGCTTCGCCCCTAAAAGTCTCTTTAGCTCCTTAAGACGCGCCTTAAGGCACGGGTTGGTCGTCACCTGTATACGTATGCATGTATGTAGTAATCACATCACAGCATATCAGGGAAGCTTCAGAGGATTTTATCGGCAAACCATGAACCTGTCCGCTGGCCGCGTCCGTCCGTCGTCTGTATGTCTGTTTGACACACAGACGGACGCATGGACGCACGGGCGGACGAATGAATGAATGAATGGAGGCACGGACGGACGCAAGCAAGAACGAATAGACGGACGGAAGGGCGAATGGACTGATGGACACTTTGCCTCACACATCATCATTCACTCCGTGAATAGGCTGTGATTTTTTTAACCACTCGGGCTATTGCCCATAGCAACGCTAGGTAGTTCTATCAATCGAACAGACACGAACAAGCCGCCTTTTATTACGTCTCTGAAACCACGGAAGGTTGTTTATTAAATGCGAACGCATTTCTTAGTAGGTATATGTCAGGCATCCGGCGTTGTATGCAGCGGTGTCCGTGCGCCGGAAGGTGTTATCTCTCCGCTCTCATTCCTTCTACCATAGAAACAGCTGCGGGCACGCGTGCTTGTCCTTGCCCACAGCAACCGCAGCATGTGGTGCGATAGAGTGTAGGACAGGGTAGGTGCAGTGCTTCGCAGCTCCTCTCGCCGGTCTCTCTCTCTCCTCTGTGCGCCCCACTCTCCCTTCCACTCTCGTTTCACTCTCACCCGTTCTCTGGATGGGCGCTCCTCAAGAGCATCTGTAAAATGATTCGCTCGCAGGATTTCAAGCTGGACGGTTGTGCCCTCGCGATCTCCGACATCAGCGTAGCTCCCGCCGACTGGTTCGCCCTCCGCGGTCTCCTGACGCCGTGCAGCTCTCGCATTGTGGCACCCCGCCCTTGGACTGCTTCGACCGGATCCCCACTTTCCTATCTCCTACTTTTTTCTCTCGCTTGGCTGTCTTCTTCTCCGTCTATTTTCCTTCTATTCTTTTTATCCCTCCTTCCCCCCACCCCTATAAGGCACTGCGCCGTGTCGCCTGAAGGCAGACAGAAATTAGGTGCCTTTTTATTCTTCATTCTAACCACTACCACCACCACCATCTGTGTAAATGTGTGCTCGAGACGCCGCCGTGCTATGCCAACGTCAAGCTGAGAACGCTGGTACCCCCTCTCCCATCCACTCGCTCCTTCCTTGACCGTTCGCTGGCTGGGCGCCTCTCATGGCGATGGCGAAAATCGGTGAAGGCGAATGTCTGACGGCAAAGGTACTTTCTCGGCGCAAAAAATGCATTCGTATTTTCTCACGATTCCCTTTAGGGGAATGGGGACGTTTAAGGGGCGAAGCTCCTTAAGCGGTGGCTCATACGTCAGCGATGTATGTAGTACTGTAGTAGTAGTAGTAGTAGTAGTAGTAGTAGTAGTAGTAGTAGTAGTAGTAGTAGTAG